TGCAGCTCGTCCTTGCCTCTTTTGAGCGCAGTTTCTCCTGGGAAACGTGAAGCTTGCTGTTTCCTTGAATAAGAAAGAAAACGTACAATTCCCCGTCCTGTGGGAGGGGGAAAAAACGGGAAATTTTGCATATGAATGGGGGGAAAGCGACGCAAATTCCTTTCCGCCGGAAATGCTTTATCGTCCTTGGAAGTGCCCCTTGGGACCCGGGCAATGCCTGGGGTGGGGGAGGTTAACGGTCTGACGCTTGATCGACAGGGCGAGTACGTGACGAGCCGCTGGTATCCCTTCTTTCCCCGCTACATCCTGCTGAAAACCATGATACGGAATGTGCTGCACGAGCCGGCCTTCATGGAGGTGTGCCACGAGGTGGAGAGCTAGTCGGGCCCAGTCCACTCACCCACGTTCACCCCACTCACGGACGGATGCAGGATGGATGCGTGCTGGGACACGAACGGGACACATAGGACAGCGGTAGAGCCAAAGCCCCGACCTAAGACCCCCTTCCGCCTTCGTCTCACATGACCTGACACTCTTCACGAGGGAATTTCATAAAGTTCCCTGCCTCCCGGCCTCTGCCCTTGCTCTTCTGACGTGCAAAACCGATCGGAATGTCGTGCTTTATATGACGCATCTCTCGTTTTTTTTTTCTGAAACCTGATCTCGAAAAGGAACCCCGTGCTGGGTTGCGCACAGACAGGCTTTGCTATCTCCGTACAAATGCGCACTATTTAGCGTAAACAGAGAAACGGAACTGTGTAGTATGGTGCAAGTGATCAGTATCAAGTTTTTTGTAGTAGCGAATATTCCGGATTTGTCGAGGGCTCGAGAATTGAGCATAGTCAAACATTGCAATACTGGCTTTACGCCGATTTCGGGCAAGTTCTCGTTCAAAATAAGCTTATACCAATTTCTCAAGGTTGGAAATAAGTCCCAGAGAAGCAATGCTCACTTTTGCAAGAAAAAGAGCTACGACAAAGCGTATTTGTGCCTGTTGGGAGGAAGTGCTGAGCCTTTTCAAAAAAAGCAAGTATATTTTATTCCACTCGAAAAGCAGTTTATTTGACACTTCTGAGCACTCTACTTACCGATTGGCTCGGGCGAACATTTTTGCTGCTTCGAATAAGCTCTTTTGTAAGATTATGCTAAACGCTTCCTGTGACTCATGCTCACGTTATTTACCTACGGAGTTGTGGTGCTGCTTTTGAAATCAGAGACGAAAATTCATTGAGTGAATCGAGCCAGTGAAAAGCGTCAGAGCAGCTAGGACGAGGAGTGAAGTATGAGAATTTCTTGAAATCCCCTCGTGGGTTTTCCCACGGCGACACGGAAATGAGGCGAAAAAGTCCAGCGTGTTCAGCGGACGCGCAACAAAGCGACGAGTGTTCAAGCAACGAACGGAAAAAAATGGCATTATTGTTATTACGAAGCATTTACGCTGTTTAGCGGTTTCGGGGCAACTCACGCAATGCGCATTCCTGCCGAGTCATTAGTCGAGGACTCGGATAATTACCGTTCATAGCGAGTCTCTTGAATGCCGATTCCAGTGTTCATTTCACAAAATGGGAGGCTCCACAATTTATCAATTATTTTTCAATACTTTAGTTCCTTATTGGGCATCATCTCCTTTCAAAATTATGAAAGATTTCATCAGTTTTTATCGTTCAAGAATGCAGAAAATCTTATGTTGAAGTCGCATTCCTTCCGAGTCATTATAGTCGAAGACTCGGAAAATTACCGGTCATAGCCAGTCTCTTGAATGGCAATTCCAGTCGTGTTCATTCGATAAAATGGGAGGCTCCACGTTTTATTCATTTGTTTTTTTTTTTTTAACACGGTAGTTTCATAGAAATATCCTTTCATCCAAAGTTCTCAAAGGTCTCCTCAGTTTTCATCTTTTAAGAATGCAGAAAATTTTATGTTGAAGTCCAGAGATGGCGGTGATCTGTATTTTAGCCATTCCATGTGAGACTGAATTCCAGCTCCTTTCCCAAGAACGACGAAGAGCTAAAAGGGGTCAAAAATCACTGTGTGTTGGAAAATTCAAGTTTTTTTTTGCGGTATGTTTCAAATCTTGAATTGATATAACTCGTGTAAATGTTTTCTTCAACCAGGGGAAAAGTGTAAAAAATAAATTAAACGTAATGTAACTTTCTTCGGAATACCGCTGACCAAGAAACTGAGACATAATGTACCCATGCTCATTCACGCACTGGTGGAACCCACCTGCTGGGCGAATGGGACTTGCGATTCAACTGAAATTAGTCAAGATCAAAACGCCGTGTGCCAGTGACATCTACCTTCAATGAATCAATTCAATCGTAATATATACTAGAGGGCAAACGCAGTGAAGCGTTCCAAAACTAGGATCCGCTTTTTGATTTCCGGAAAAGTTAGGATTTTGGGAATGCAAGGATATGATCAATCATTGTTAACCAATAGCAGCTAATCATAATCAAAAATCACTATCAGACCAAGTCAACTCATCCCATCCTTGTCTATCAAGTCGACTATCTTATTACATAAGTATGCATACACAAAACAAAAGATTCAAGTTAAATATATGTCGAAGAAGGTAGAATTACACAGCATAAGACATTTGAATTTCTTAGGCCGCGCCTCAGAAAGTAATTTTTCTGCAATTATTTAGTGCGCTTTTTCGCATCAGTACATTTCTTCTGATTTGAATCACAAAAGTCTGCAGATTACCTCATGCTTCAGTGAGGGTCTTCATGTTTTCGAAAATATTGCTACGAAAATCAGATCAGACCTTTGTGCAACTGAGCTAAGAATGGTCGAAAGAATTCATGATGTGTACATAATTCAGGTGTGAAACCAAGACGCCAGGAAATTGAATAAAAAGCGAGGAAAATTTGTATTACATCATTTTTTCAAATTGACTTACACATGCATAAAAAAAGAGTAAATTGTGGTACTCCAACGAATAGATTTATCGTAGAGTGGACAATTTTCCACTGCAAAGTGACATTTTGGACACCCTACCGGAGTTTTCCAGACACCTTTTAACCCGAAAACCCTATTTTTCATACGATTGTTTTGGACGGGTCAAGGTTGAAATCAAATTTTGACGCGAAACTTGTAATGCCCAACTCAGGTTTTCAAAACGAAACATTCCTCCTATGCCCTCAACAATTTGACAGATGGGGATGAAATTCTCATTTTACATGTTGAAGATCTGCTGATTAATTTATTTTTCATTTAAATGCTTTCTTCGTTTCCCCGGAGCAGCCGCGGATACCCCGGGAAGTTCTCGTGATGGAGCCCGGGTTCAGAGCACTTCCCTCAAATAATTTCACAGTTGAATCGGCATTCGAGAGATTATAGCAAAATAAGTAGTGTTCTTTGACAAACAGTATCTGAGTCTCCGAATCACTGCGGACTTCGGTTCGAACGCGCGATGCCTGAGACGGCCTCGTTCACGCTGTTTAGCTGCTTGTTGGTCGCGGGCGACGACCGTCATAGAGCTGCTCAGACCGGTCATAGAGCTGCTCAGGCCAAACGATGCATGCGAAGAAAAAAGAAGAAGAAAAAGGCAAAAATTGTACGCGCGAGTGTTGAGAGTGCGATGGTTGGCCGGCGCGGGTCGAGTGCTTTCATGAGTTGACCGATGCCTCGTCGCCGGCTGAACGGGGCCCGGCCGCTGTACAAAGATAGGCTACCGGAAGTAGGCCAGGATATACATTTCTATATGCATGTGTACTACAGGCTACGTAGCTGTCGCGGCTGGAAAGCTCGACCCCTTGCCCGCCGGCCCAGTCCTTTTTATGTCCGGCGGACACGCGCCCTTCTACTGCGGACTCGGTGCTAGCTCCGATTAAAACCGGCTATAGCTGCTGCATTTACTATAAAAAAAGAAGCGTCTTCGATCAATTCATACCCGACGCGATTGATTTTCTCCATTCCTGCGCCGCGACAAGCTCAACTTCGAGTTGCGAGAATGACCTGCAATATCCTGGCATGCTTAAATAACTGATCCGTATCGATTCTGCTCTTTCACGAGTACATATTTATAGCCAATAAAAGTATAGGTTGAAGGACTTAATCCGTCCACAAAATAATAGGCCCTGTTCGAACTGAGGAATGCAAAGATCGATTCGTTCCAGACCCGAAAAAGTGTTTTATCTCAATATTTTCGAGGCTATTTACCGCCTCCAGAGGTTATCACTTCAAGATTTCTTTGAAATTTCTTTCGAATATTCTTTGATGAACTAAATATAATACTGTAGCATCCAGAAATAAGGAAGACATTCTTAGAAAAGAAGTTGACATCCACTGGGAAAATTATGCTTACAGCCATAAAAACTTTGTTTTCTAGGACAACGACTCTTCATGAAGTAATTTGTTTGAATTAAAATGTTTTTGGAAGCATGGTCTTCCTGGATGAGATCATTACCCGGGATAAGCAAACAAATTTTCGGCTAACTGCACGTAGTTCGGCACTTTTAATTTAAGTTTTCCCCATTTTCCAAATATAAACAAATATTTTTGACCAAGTGAATCTGCAATAGTGAAATCACGATAATACATGAGTGCGTAACCCCACGCTTAAATGAAAGAGAGAGAATCTTGAAAATTTTGAGTCTTTTCACCTCGTGCTGATAAACATACGACGAGATCATCACGGTTTCCATCGGCATGATCGGACGTTCAATTCAATCTGCGAGAACCTCGAAACTCTTCCTGAAGTTTTGAAAGTTTTCGAAGTCTGCGTAGTCACGAAATTCAAAAAGAGGTTTGATTCTATAAAAGATCGCACGAAGTGAGATCTACAATAACCTGACATCTATGTAATACTCATCTTGGTAACTTTTTCGAAATGGGAAATTATAAATGAAGTTCATGTTAACTGAACAGTGCCGTATACCTATTCAAATTTTTTTTCACACGTGCTCCACGTGGAGAGTCAACAACATCGCATTTTAATGGATCTGACATTTTGCTTTTACACCTAATAAACACCGTGAATGTACTGAACAGACTGTGGTGAGCGAAAAGTATACATTTCAACTCCGCATATATGCAAACACGTCGTTCAAAAAAGCGGAAGCGTACCGGAAGTCCACATTGCAATCTAAGGGATCACGCTGAGCACGGAAGAGGAGAGTGCATCATGCTTCGCCCTCTGTCAATTTCAATTCAGGTTAACATAAGGTAGGAAAAATATAGATGCTTCATTTCGAGTTCTCTGTTCACTTAACGTTATTTAAATCAGAAGTGCATTATCTTAAAGATTTTTCTAAGCGTAGTTTGATTCGTTTCTGAGCAAGCACATCTCCTGCCAAATTTCTCACTGAAAAGTGTTTATCCGCAGATTTACTCCAAAGAATTCGGGCTATCGCATCAAGCATCGACAAATTCGTCTCCCAATGGCCTGCAATGTATCATAAATTACCAGGAGAATAATTCCTTGAGAAGTTTTCAAATTTTCTGGTCATTTAACTGTTATAATTTGTGCATCATCATCGTTTGAGACTCTTCGTGAGATCCTATAAGGGATCAGCCTGTGAAAATCCCCTTCACTATACTAATTTGACCATGGTCTTGGATGGATGAAAACTTAGACGTTATCAAGAGTTAATGCTTCAACGTTATCTCTGTGAATGTTCCGATGAACTGGAATGCCGAAAGCGCCATTTTCGCCAAAGCCAATAACGGGAATAAGCAAGGGATCCCTTCAAGTCGTTTCTCGGCACGACGACGCGTTTTCGAGCATTTGAAGCAGTCGCAATTGCACGCCATTTTGAACGACGTCGACACTGGGTCCAACCCACGTCATGTCAGGTGTGGCAGCGTCGTGTGGAAAACCGATCGACGCCACGACAAGGAACGAGTTTGTCCAGCCTGACGTTTGGAGTCGACGACGCGTCGCTAACATGACCGTGTCTTCCGTAATTTTCACCGAGCTGCTGTTCCCAATTATCTAGAATTAATTAAAACTTCGGGTCAAATATTCTGCTTCCACCATGAAAAAAAAATTGCTTGAAAGTTGTGACATCAATTTCAGTGCCATGATGCAAAAGTATATCGAAAAAATTTCAAAGTATTTTTTATCAGGAAATTATTGAACTGTCACATTTTAAATTTAGTTTTCATAAATTTTTCTGATTGAGCCTCAGTATATAAATTGCGTTAAAACAAGCTAAACTTGGGCTCATATTGGGTCTTCCGTGAGGTACATTTATACAATATTCTTTCTACATATTTTGCTCTTGCTCACTCCTTGATCAGATACTTTTTGGAGGAGAAGCTATTCAGAAGAAGTTTGAAAATTGTTTCGGAAGTTTATGGGGAATTTTTAACGTCATTTTTCTATCTGAAAGTAAGCGAAAGGCAAGTTCGAGTATGTAAGCGGTCATTTTCTTCAATATTGTCTCATTAATTATGCATGAATGTGCTCAAACTTCGCATCGGGAGTTTCTGCAGAGCTGATGGATTGCGACGCATGTCACTCACCTGTCTAGTCAATGGAAATGCTGGCACGTATTCGGTAGATGACCTTTCGATGGTGTCAATGAGCATTACTCGAGCAAGAAATGGATCAAGTCGACGTTCATTGCTGCTTCTGTAAAGGGTGAAAACGTACATTGAATATACGAATATATGTACCACATTTTATTGGGTATAAAAATCTTGAAAACTTGAAAATTCAGATATCTCGAAAATTGTTACAAGCAGACGTTCTTCAGGGGAAGAAATTTTCGTAATTTGATGCATTAACGGGGAGAAACTCAAAATTATAAGATGCATCATTTTTAGCATCGTATTTCAGTAAAGGTAGAGACAAAAAAGGTATTTGCGCAACAGATTAGTGTACTTGCATTATGTTTCTTTCACATTTCCGAACAGCAAAAATATTATTGCCGGGAGTACTGCATGTTTTCTTGGGACCTCAATAAGCAAAAAGCTTTTGTAGCGCGGGATGAAAAATTCCTTCGACGAAGAATTCCCTATGACAGGTTTGTCATTCGTTTTGCTTGATGAAAGCCGGCGAACGGAAGTCGCAGGCAGCATTAGGAAAACTGACAATGACAGAAGTAAGCTTACTTCTCGGTCTGGATCCCCCAGATCAAAGCGACAGCTGCAGGGTGTCGAGCTGACGAACCTTCCCAGGCAGACGCGCGAGACAACGAATCCCACGCGAGATGCAGTTCTAGAGCACCGACACCAATTCCGCAAACTGCATTTGACGCTTGGCTTTCCAGTTTCTCATCCCAGAAACCGTTCTTCGGCTCAACCTGCCAATCAATACAAATTTGAGTTGTGAGCAGCATGTCTTGAAATTTCTCCTCGTTTGAATCCCTGCATTATACGATAGTCTCGTTATAGAACATTTTCTACGACTGCCCTTTGTTAGGTATTATTCAAATATATTTTAAAATATAATTTATTTCAGCCACCATTCTTCTTCTAGAATAGTCCTCGTCTTGGCGAAGTTGCGACAGCTGTGATTTGATATAATTTACAATCTCTACCTGAATTCCGACAGTGTTGTTCATTTTTCGGACGAGCAAGAAAAGTTCTCTGGAATTCAAAAGAATGTTCTCCCTCACGTGGGACGCAGGTAAAGAATTGATTTACCAAAGATATTAATCGAGTTCTAGATGGTGGCAACATTGTACTTTTTGGTGCTTGGATGTTGGCAATGCCAAAAGGTGCCCCACCAGCCACGGGTGCCACCACCAATGCATCAAAATCTCGCCAGGTCAACTTTTCTTCCATAGGGATACTTAAAGTGATCGTCTCTTGGTCGTAACTTCGAATGGGTCGACTCCTGAAAAAAATAACAGCAGTCATTCGTATTTTCCGCAATATTAAAAATCCATTGCAGAAGTTTCGGAATAATCTTAAGGAATGATAACCTTCTGATGCATGCAATATTTCACACAGATTTTTCATCGCACGACATAAAAGAATGAATACATTTAACTCGGAAGCATCGTTTTCCGTTATAAGAATGCACTTATATGCTGAACTTGTTTTGTGGTTAAGATTAAGTCGGAAAGTTATTATGCCCTGCATATATGCTATGAGCAATTAAATTATTCTACATATTCAAAAACCAGATAATTAGTTTCCTTATCAATGGAATCTCATTGGAACTGCAACATTAAAAAAAAACAATTTGATTTTCCGCGAGGTAAACAGCAATATGATTGCAGCTGTTCATCAAAAATTTCGTTTGGATCCCGGATTCTCAAAAATAAAATATGAACATGTCAATAAGCTAGATACATGCCTCTTTTTATTGTTTTTCTGAATTTAGGAACATGCTCATTGAACAATTTCAGCAAACGGCTCTGGCATAAACGATTTGCAAAAAAAATCACCAGGCCAAATTTGCAAAATGAAAAAGCGCACACTTCAATCACTGTGGTTGGCTTCCTGTTGATGAGCGATTCGTATTTGTATAGATGTCACGTACAACCTTTCGTAAGTTATCATCGCAAAATTCACATGACTATCGGAAAGAAAATTGTTAATATCGTTTTTGGTGCATGGATTCTGAATCAAAACGTGTGCGAGGATCTCTTAATTCAGTCTTCTCCGATTCCTTGACTTGAAAAAGTAGAAAAGAAAGAAATGAAGCGTAGTGGGAAAGCATCTATCACTGTACACATTCTCAGGACTGTCAGCGACTCAATAAGCGTAATCTATTTTTTTTTAAGTAATGATCAGTCCTTAGCAACAGTTTAAACAAATCATCCGTCGTCCTTCCCAGTCGCGCATTATTTTTTGAAAACAAAAAATGAAAGTCAGCCTAACGAAAAAAAAACACGACGGATTTTCCATCCCTAATTTTTTTTTATTGCAGCAAGCAGGTATTTGTATCTAACCTGTTCTTGTCGTCACGGAATGATATGCGGATCCCACCGACAGCAAGTCTGCCAAAGAACATGGCGTCTTCACCGACCCCATCGTAGGAAAACGTTTTCACTTCGAGTGCGGTCTCATCGACCAAAGTGATAAGACCGGAACGGACCCCATGACTCTTTCCTTCAAACGAGGATTCCGGCCCCAAAACCAGAGATGTCGGTACAGCGAAGGGCTCAAACGTCACCTTGCATTCTAGGTCTGTTTGGTGCCTCAGGATTTTCCGGGGTCTTAAAAGCAGGTATTGCAAATCCTGTGTTTGACGACCGAAGGGCAAGCGCACTAGAAGGTTCACGTTCAGTCGCAGCCGTTTCAGAGCACCTCTGAAATTTTTCAACAATTCCCATGCTCAAGCCAACAATGCACAAAAAGAGCAGTAAAAATACCCTTTTCGTCAAAGGCACTTTACTTGAAAGTTGAAGAGAGTAAATTGAGTGCGCGTCGTAAAGAAAATGCGAAATTCCAATTCAATTTTAATGCATTTGCGTATGTCCTGAATTTATTTATAGGAATACGACGCGGTTCTTACACAGAGATGAGAACGTTTTAAAATACATGCTCCAAAAGTCCTTCCATGTTTTTTCGAAAAATCAGCGTCCTAGAATTTCAAATCCCATGACCGAATTAAGTCCAAAAATTTAAAGAAGCTATGATAAAATGTTCGAGTTTAAAAGTGGTCCTTGATTCAAATTTATTCCTCGTGAAGGGCGCGTATGGTTTGTCATCAAGGCATAAGCCGAAACAAAATGTACACGAAATACTCAAATACATCGCTTTCAGATTTAAATAACTTGCTTTATTCGGCTTCTTCAGACCAACTTTTCTTGATTCCTTGATTGCTCACAGTAGAAAAAAAATGACGAAAACGTGGGAACAGCTGTGAACCCAGATGCATTTGGCTGGTTTAAATCGCTCACCTGATTCTGCTGGTAGATTTTGTGGCTGGATACGGAATACGAAACTCATAAACACCCTCACGACCTTGCGCTCCACCCCAGAAATCTGCAACAAGAACAAATAAGGTCAAGGTGGAAAGATGATCCCCGTCATGAGAGAGAACGAAAACGAAACAAAAACAAACGAACCAGACGGTGTTCCGTCATGAGAAAAATTCCGGATGAACAGTTCCTGGGAACTGACGATAAAGACGTCGCCGGAAACCATTCCGCCGCACTTATCAAACCGACCGGCCCAGTTGCCGAAACCATCTTCGAATACGTTCGTTGTCCCTGTATAAGAAAACCAGCATCGGTTAGTTCAAATCACGGGTTTCTAGCTATATCTTTAGTTTCCAGACGTCACATGAATCTTGCAAAAGCTCGCAAGCTTGATAAGCTTTTCCTGTCGATGGACTTCGAATGACCAACGATTGATTTTCAAGGGATTTTTTATGTTAATACACTAACATCGCATCAATTTAGACAATGCGAGAGTTTTTCAAAACTTTGTCGCGGTGAGCTCAATCTGATGTACAGTATCATGTCAAGTCCAAGTTCTGGGTTAGGACTGACTTTTTTCACGTGTTGAAAATGCAAAAACGTTTCCTCAAAAACCTCCAGATTTTCAAATAATTTAGTTTTGGGAAGCATCATGCTCAATTGCTTAGCATCTAGCTCATGGTTCTCAGTCTGAGTTTGTTTGTTTCTTTTTAGTCTCCATGACTCCCAAAGCTACTTTGAAAGAGTATAACTAAATATGGTTCAATTCGGAGCGTATATTATTGAGTAAGGTGGACCCCAAAATCCTGACGCCTCGACAAACGGACGATTTGACTTGGGACACTTAGAACTGAAAAATTCTGCCCCGAAATCTGAACAGTTTTACAATTAAGGTACATCACACACCTTTCCAACATTCCTAAAAACATTGGAAAAATGATTTTCGTGAATCTTGTAACTCAAACAAATTGAGCCAGTAATGCGCAAGAAAATTAAAAAATCTACATAAATTACTCTAATTCATAATATTTTGCTTATTTTTCAGAGTATTTCTATGATGTGTGCACAGGCAGCAGCATAGCAGGATTTTATCTTGCTTTTTGCTTCTTGAGTTCCTTCGTCTGCATGATGCAAAAAAATCAGATTCTGTGTGGGTTTCTTCAGCAGCACAGTTTATTTTCTGCATCTTGAAGTATGGAAAAGTGTTAACTCAATTTTTTGGGACTCAATCCATAATTTTTTATGAACAGGACGCTCCGACATGCGGACAAGGTTCAAGCACCAATTACGCCCGCATCTCGGGGCCTTGTACCGTATACGCAAAAATATACATAGATTATTGTGTACGTAGCCCAAGTTACTGTTAACAACTGCGGAAATCTATAATTTACTCGGAGGCAAAATTCTTTCCTGCGAAGTAACGTACCTTTGAAAAGTTTTCTACAAAAAGCGATTGGCTAGTCATATAGTTGGAAACCTCACATTTAACTCGTTCTCTGACGAAAAAATGTCATCCAAAAAGTGGATCTTACTTTTATCTCTATCGTATACAATTCGAAAAATTGAAACTCACGGGAATCATTCGCAGTTTTTGGGGAACTCGTAGTTGAAGGAACAGAGGACGTCGTGAGTGACTCAGGCCGTACTGTTGTGGGTCGCTCCGAAGTAGTAACAGCAGAAGTTGTACGTTGCGTTGAGGTAGTTGCAGGAGTAGTTGCAGAAGTAGTTACAGAAGTAGTTGCAGAAGTAGTTTCAGAAGTAGTTGTAGTAGTTGTTGTAGTAGTGCGAGGACTAGTCCTGGTACTGGTAGTGGTGGGAGAAGCAGTACTATCCGTCACGGGGACTGTTGAACTGGTGAAACGTGATGCTGTAGTCGTATCAATCCCTGCGGCCAGGCGGTGGTTTTCAGAGGCAAAAGTCGCCGACGTCGCCGTCGATTTGCCGGTCGTCACGCTCAGCAAATAAAGCAATGCAAAGACGACAGCAGTCAAAATGATTATGATGAGTCCTATTTTCTCTCCGTAAACGTGACAGAACCTCACGAGCCATAGATTAGGCCCTGGTTCATCGTCTGGAACAACGTCTTCGCCAACACTGAAGCGTACATCTGTTCAACAAAATCCAACCTTTAACGATGGAAATTGAGTAACTGAAACAAATTATGTCGAAGGTTTTTAATCTGTGATTCGCGGAACCCCACAGGGTTGCTCGTGAACTCTACGGTAGAAGCGCGATGAAAATTTTTAGTTTGAGCTTGAAATAGCGTTCACGAAGAATTGGAAAGAACTCACGTGTCCGTGTTTCAAGAAATGAAGACTAATTACGGAATTTTGTCGATTTTTAGGCCAAAAATACTTTTTTCAATATACATACAGGATAAGTTCCGTCACATATTCGTATTTCAATATGGACATCGGCAAAAAAAACATCGTGAGAAGAGCTCCTCAATTCAGAAAGTTCGATTCATTGTGATCTATAGTTCTCAACATTTTAAATTGCTCCGTTTTCGGAAATAAAAGATAAAAAACGAGGAATTTTCATCGGGAAGACTTGCCTTGATCTTAAGTCAAATCAAGAAATGTTAAAGAAAGAAATAATTTTCCAAGTTGTCGATAATCAAAAGATTCTACCAGCAGTCGTGATCATCGCACCAATTCACTGCGACACACATTTTAAGGAAAATTATATGAAAAACAAGGCTATGCTTGATTCGTTGTGCTTCCGAATATCAATCAGCCCGTTATCCGAAATAACGAAATAATATAAGATAATGGACTCACATAAAGAATGCCAAGGATATCAAAATTGACAACAAACACTTTCAGGTGTTTCTGGAACGCCGAAGGACTGTAATTCTTTACTAGAAAACTATTTGACACCTCGAAAAAGGATCACACAAGAAATAACCCTAGATTTGAATTTTTTACTTGAAGAAGTTTTGGAAATCACATGACTGCATGTATTTGAAATTGCGAATTATATCAAGGAAAATGTCAACTACAATCACTCCAAGAGCACAATAGCCTTCAGTATCCGATAAAAATTTGAACCTTTTTTGAACTATGTGAACGCGGACTAGCGAAAAATAAAGCCCTTATTTAAATCAATTAATCAACAAGAGAATTTCTACGACTCATAATGAAAAATGTATCTTCAAATGGCACGCGTTCCTGGGAATCATTAACAGTAAGACAAAAGTACGGTATGTGAATCACCAGACAAACACTCACGTCGTGGAAATGCGAAGACTTTAAATTAAGTCAAGATTTGAATTTGAATAGGGATCTTCCATAGGATCACTTTCCTCGTATTTCACTATACAGAGGGAGTAATACGAAACGCGCATTCGGGGATATTCAAGCGAAAACACTCGAGTTTTCATTACGTATAGGTCTCGCACCTGTCGCATCCCGACGCCACTGATCGACATCGTCACCGTCGTCCGGTACAGCTTCCAGCAACTCGATGGTGTTGCAATCAATGTCCTGGTGTTGGCGCGGCATGTTTCCTGGCAAATGCGGAAACCACCTCGTCGACGCGGCACAGCTTCACTTTGGGGAACGCAGGCGCGCATGGGTAAACAAACTCGTCACGTGACGTGACGTGACGTTCAAACGACGTCGTCAGGCTCCCGAGGATGCGACCTGATAAATGTTCTCTTCAGCGTGGCCTCGCCCGAATTGCTGAAGCTACAGCTAGAAGAGCGATCAAGAATGCGTTGCATTTCAAGTCGTTGAAAGAGCCACGGATTTCCATGATACATTTTCAATTGAACTATGCATCGGAATAATGGCCTGCTAAAAATGAAGGGCTACCATATCCATGTAAGAGCATAAAGACGAAATAAAAATAATTATGATGCTTATACTCCTCGAACTTTCGCTGCGTCATAGAAGATTTTGGATGAAATTACATTCAAATATTTCTGAGTAGATCAGGTTATTAAATACAATGAATAAAGAACTTCGAAAATAGGTTTTGATCTGAATGTTTTCAACCAGAGTTTGGATGACGATTTAATTCTTTGCGTCCAAGGGGGTTGCATAACGAGCGAATTACATGCGAAAACAGGTTCTATTTTTTATGTTTATGAAAACATAGATAGCAGATTTGAAATGGAACAAGGTTACTAAGCTAAGCTTGCAAGAAGAATTGGCAACAAAGTTTTAATTTAAATTTTTTAATGCAGAAGTGTGCATTGCTGATACCATACATTGCATCAAAGGGATTTTGAACACGTTCAAGTGACAGACTAAAATGTCTGGGAAACAAGTTTTGATCTCAATTTCACCTCAGAAAGTGTGCCATGCAGCTTGAATACATCGTCGCTGCAAAGTCATCAAAAGAGGTTTTCAACTCGTTTTCCATTTCAAAAGTTTGGATCGCAGATTTTCAACATGCACGTACAGTATATCTAGATGATAGGTTTACTGATGGAAGCTCAAAAAAGACCAAAGATCCTCAAAATCAAATTTATTCCCCTCGATTCATTTTCAGAAATTGAAATGCAACTTGCATGCATGAAGAATGAATGCATGCAACGCTTCTCTGTCTTCAATTTTTTTTTTACATTATAGGCAGAATTGTTTTAGGATATTGTGTGCACAAGTGCTGGAAATCATTTAAAGATGTACGTTCAGTTTCATTCTTCTCGTTCTAGCTCGAATATTTTATGACTGTCTCATCGGAATATGCTTCTCTTCAGGTTCTCTTCCCAATGGACAGTGACGATCTACGAGGTTCTATCAGACAGAAAAACTCCGCGGTAGCTCAGCATCGGAAGTTATTTTGTCCAGAAACACGCTTCCATCCTCGCCACATGTTTCAGCACATTTAAAGAAGATTTTATTTGTGCATTTGCGAACACTATATTTTAATAGAAATCCTCGTGGATCGTCGCACAAAACTGTCGGTTCTGAAACACAGCGATGCATTATTTTGAGAGAGGTAAGTAGGTAACTGAAGTGAGAAGGGTGCTCTGAACCCTTTTCAATCGCTCAAGTTCTAAAGAAGACGCAAAACTCGTTTCCGCCTCGATTTGAAAATAATGCGGGATTACTGTAAGCTGTCGAGTTCTCTAAAATTACCAGAAGGTAAAACGTTTCGTCAGCAAATGAGCGAAAATGAATATACGTATTGTATGCTCGTTTGCTCCACGGATGCGCACTTGGCATAGATCTCCTTTTCGAGCAGCGGCATCTGTTAATTTTTGAATGAAAAGAGAAACGCTTTTCTCAAAAAGTCTCATGTAGGTGACGATAGAACCGGCATGCCCAGCACAATGTCTCCTCCATAATCAAATTGATGAAATTCTGTAAACCAGCCAAACGTGAACTTCATTTACGTCGAGAAAGTTTCGTCACTACTTTTACGTCGATAAAGTTTCGTCACTGCTTTTTTGTTTGTTTTTCTGATACGGAACTTGAGTCCCTGACCGATACACTGGGATCAAAAGCTATGTACTATACTTCCTGCATGGCACCAATAATGTTGTGGGCCGAGGGAAACCACGTTCATCAAACTGGAGGCAGAAAAAATCAGGAAACTTGTGCCGGATGGAACCAGCTGATGGAGGTACCCGTGCCATTGAGAAATTATGCCCAAAAAAACCATGCGTCGTGGGAAGAAAATGGACAGGAACAACATGTGCCTTTGCCAGTGTTACTTTTCAGTCTTCAGCAGTTTGAAAAAATATGATTTTCAGAAGAAAGCCAATAATTTTTAAATTCAAAAATTAATTGAGAGATCAGGTGAAATTAAGAGAGAAATACTGTACATTGAGGGAGCGAAATTCCTCAAAAATCAACTTAAAATGTTGACCATGCACGAAGTGACCGGGAAAATTGAATTTCAAGGCTCCTCTTGAATCAATCTGCTTTTCTTTTCTATTCAAGTTTAACAAATACTGTACTGCAATGCATGAAATACGTTGGAATCTCGTTCAAACGAAACGTTTGGGACATTTAAAACTTTTTCATTATCGATTAAAATTCGTTACAACTAGAAGAAAAGAACATTTTGGACATTGGACGGGTACTGAAAAAATCACATTCGTTGTAAGCACAAACTAATTATAATGAGGTTCGTTGTAATATGATTCTAGTGTTTCACGATTTTTATATACAACAGTAGTCGCAAAATAAATATTTAAAAAACACCAGCCTTGGCAAGAGCTGCACAATTTTGACTGGCTTTTCTCTTCAGTGGGGCTCGCTCTGGTACGTACCCCGATGGCGCTTGTATCCTGGCTTCAGATTGAGAGGCGCTGGTTTCCCAGCAGTGCCTCTCAAGTACAGCTCAGGACACTGATTTTTACAGTCACGTTCAGACAATGGTATACAACAGGGTTTGGAACCTCTTTCAATACTGGGACCTCGGAAATACTTGCAGCTCTATCTCCGATCGCGGCCATACGAGGATCCGTGTCAGAGCGTAAAATACCATACGCTTGAATTTTGGCCCCTAATGTTGATTTTAAAAATGTTCCTTGTACCCCAGCATTTAATTGCTGGACTGGCTAATATTGGAGACTGACAAGTATTTATTAAAGTTGAATCAAGAAGTCCTGATAGAATGGAAGTAAAAAAATCACATTTTTCAAAGGTCAAAAAAGCTCTTTTGTATATTTAAATTGTAAACTACCCCTTTCATTGAGCTGAATATTGCCCTTGGTGTTTGGTCTGAAAAAAATAAATATAGCACGCAATCAAACATTTCTTGAAATTGCTCAGAGCTTGGAAATACGTTTGTGATGGAAAATTGTACTATGCATACATTGAATGAAATATTACCCCAATTAAATGTATCTAAACATTTTCATTATGTTTTGGAGCATTTCAAATCACAAAACTCTGAAAGAAATCTTAACAAAACAACGTAAAATTACAAGCAAATCAATGAATGAAATTGAAATGGAGAACAATGGTTGACATTATTCATCTTCCTTAATGGTAGGCAGAGAAGATTACTTCTGGAAATTATGAATTTTTCGATCTACTTATCATCAATGAAGATTTCAACTATGGCTCGCAAAACGTATCCTTCGCTGATATTAAATGCTTTAAAAACATGTTTCAAAAGATTCAACTTACTTGAAATTAAGTTTTAATATTATGATAATGAGACACTGAAAAGCTCATCTCAGACATGTGATAGCAATTGCAGTGAATACAATTTTCTTATGGTTCAAAAATGTTAGCCTGCGTTTGGGCCTTGAGTTCCGGCAGATATGATATGTTCTGGCGCTTGCAGGTACAGAATTGTATTTCTGACCTAACTAGCAGAAGTGTCAGTTCATTCTTCGGAAGAAAATCAGGCTTTTGGAAAAGATTCAATTTCTCACTTGATGAATGCAAAGGCATTGCATGACAAATGGAAGGGGATTACAGTACACTGGAGAGAAAATAAAATATTCCAAATTAATATCCTCTAGTTTGAATGAACTACTATTACTATTTACTACCATATTACTAGTACTATTACTATTTCAATGTACTATTTACTTATACCTCTTCTGGGACCCAGCATTTCATGAAACTTGTCTCGTTCAGATACGTGGCCCTTTTTTAAAGCATATATACCATATTCAAAATTTCGGTTGCGGTTTTCTGGGACAATGAACTGCGAATGCTTCCACTTTATGATGCATGTACAGTCATAAATCATTTTGACAACTCCCCAGCGAAAAATCAGCGATATTTCTCTGGAAAAAACATCTCTGCAGATGAATACTACAATAAGCTTACAGTATTTTTTTTTACCAAAATGACTTCAGTGCAATTCAGAACTCCACGTGTCAATTCATTCATGAGAACACATTGGATACCGAGAGATTAATTCAATTATACATGTGGTCATCAAATGGAATTCTAAGACATGTAATTCCATTAGAATTTATGTGACACACAGCAGAGGGGCAGTCAAACATGTGTGACTAAGCAGCTCCGATTGAATAAGATTATTATCCGGGTAAAAACCATTGACTCGAAGTTTCTTGTTCACTCCTCCCGCAGTTGAACGAAATCCTTCAGACAGTCGAATAATGTGACCTTTGGACTTTAATTGAAACGAACAGGTGAACAAAACCCGACATGGAATGAATGACACTCGGACCGGTTTATTGCGATATAGCCAGACCCGTCCACTACGAAATCAAGTCATGTCCCGAGCGACACGCAACGAGCACAGTACTCGCACTGTGGGTTGGCCAACTGGCGGAAAATGCACTCGTCGAAACCATGCTCAAGAATTAGAACCGGTGCCAACACCAACTGGACAACTATACACAACAGGGCTTTCCAACTTTTTATTTATTTATTTTCCTTTACATCAGTGCCACTTTCGAATACGCGTCAAAGTTTCCTTCCCTGGGACGCCACTTCAAATAATGCAGGTGCGACGCAAAATTTCCTCACGGGATGCACTTTACATCCCAATTTGCACAAGTCGATATTACACCACCTTCTTTTGTTGATCTCTTACAAGTGGGTTTTGAATTCTCTGGCATTGTTTAATTTTACGGAAAATCGCCGCGTGAAAGAGGCATACTCATAGATTCAGTGGTAGATGCAAGTTTCGTTGAAAAGTCCTGCTGTACCCAGCTTGAACCAGATGCCTTCCGATGTTACACCCGCTGTCAAGAATTATGTACTGTAATTTTATATGCCTACTTTGAGATTTTCGACGTGACGATGAACTCGTTCGCATATGCTCACGAATATCCCTTCGAAAACAGAATATCTAGAATGAAAATGACATTAACAGGTGTAAAAATGGGATCTTCGATGTAAGCGTNATGAATGCAAAGGCATTGCATGACAAATGGAAGGGGATTACAGTACACTGGAGAGAAAATAAAATATTCCAAATTAATATCCTCTAGTTTGAATGAACTACTATTACTATTTACTACCATATTACTATTACTATTACTATTTCAATGTACTATTTACTTATACCTCTTCTGGGACCCAGAATTTCATGAAACTTGTCTCGTTCAGATACGTGGCCCTTTTTTAAAGCATATATACCATATTCAAAATTTCGGTTGCGGTTTTCTGGGAGAATGAACTGCGAATGCTTCCACTTTATGATGCATGTACAGTCATAAATCATTTTGACAACTCCCCAGCGAAAAATCAGCGATATTTCTCTGGAAAAAAAACATCTCTGCAGATGAATACTACAATAAGCTTACAGTATTTTTTTTACCGAAATGACTTCAGTGCAATTCAGAACTCCACGTGTCAATTCATTCATGAGAACACATTGGATACCGAGACATTAATTCAATTGTACATGTGGTTATCAAATGGAATTCTAAGACATGTAATTCCATTAGAATTTCTGTGACACACAGAGGGGCAGTCAAACATGTGTGACTAAGCAGCTCCGATTGAATAAGATTATTATCCGGGTAATAACCATTGACCGGAAGTTTCTTGTTCACTCCTCCCGCAGTTGAACGAAATCCTTCAGACAGTCGAATAATGTGACCTTTGGACTTTAATTGAAACGAACAGGTGAACAAAACCCGACATGGAATGAATGACACTCGGACCGGTTTATTGCGATATAGCCAGACCCGTCCACTACGAAATCAAGTCATGTCCCGAGCGACACGCAACGAGCACAGTACTCGCACTGTGGGTTGGCCAACTGGCGGAAAATGCACTCGTCGAAACCATGCTCAAGAATTAGAACCGGTGCCAACACCAACTGGACAACTATACACAACAGGGCTTTCCAACTTTTTATTTATTTATTTTCCTTTACATCAGTGCCACTTTCGAATACGCGTCAAAGTTTCCTTCCCTGGGACGCCACTTCAAATAATGCAGGTGCGACGCAAAATTTCCTCACGGGATGCACTTTACATCCCAATTTGCACAAGTCGATATTACACCACCTTCTTTTGTTGATCTCTTACAAGTGGGTTTTGAATTCTCTGGCATTGTTTAATTTTACGGAAAATCGCCGCGTGAAAGAGGCATACTCATAGATTCAGTGGTAGATGCAAGTTTCGTTGAAAAGTCCTGCTGTACCCAGCTTGAACCAGATGCCTTCCGATGTTACACCCGCTGTCAAGAATTATGTACTGTAATTTTATATGCCTACTTTGAGATTTTCGACGTGACGATGAACTCGTTCGCATATGCTCACGAATATCCCTTCGAAAACAGAATATCTAGAATGAAAATGACATTAACAGGTGTAAAAATGGGATCTTCGATGTAAGCGTATGGACTCCAAATAGACTTGGCGAAAATACCGCAGAGAGACAGCTGACCTGAGATTTTTGCTTTGATATCTCGAAATTTAAATCTAATATCTAATTCACGAATTCCTCTCTTCTCTGAAATTTGTTTTTCCTTGTGAAATAAGTTACAGAATAAGTTGGCATTCGCACCAGATCTTCTTCCACCACTTGGCCCTTGACAGCATAAGTTTTCCACTAGTTATTCCAAATTTCTCACGCACACTAACGTGGCATTTTTTTGCACTGAACAATGAAGCCACCGCACACATGTATAGTTCAGAAACGCACATATTAATAAAAAAAACTGTTCGGATAAAAAATTTGCTGTTCCCAGTTACAATCCTTTGTTCCGTGGTTACTGAAAGAACTTGTGAATTTCCCAACATCGTAGTCGACGGAATGCAGGAAGAAAGTATTTGATTATCGGTTGGAAACGCGAAATTTTTCAAAATGTCCAAATTGGCAACAGGGAATGACGGACGGAATGAAAAGAATGTTAATTATTTGAACAAGGACTGAATGCCTCCAGTTGTGTTCCCTGAAGAGCAGTGGATTCACAGTGCAGTGCAAAACGGTCATGCCTCCGATCGGACTACACATCGCTGACGCTGGCTTCATTCGCAACCTCGCCGCGCCTCCGCCGCCGCCGCCAACGCAGCCGCCTTCCACACCCGACCCGCCGTCGGTCATCATCGTCTCACATCTCTAACACACGCAAACTCGTTTCACCCCTGCCGCCTATATCAAGTGAACCCGGACACGTACGGGCCTACACAACTGCCTCAGATAATTTTATCACATGGACTCTAGTCGCTTCGTCGTCATCTCCGTCGTCAGTTCGTCTTCGGCGGCGGCGACTGCGGTTGCTAAGCGATGGCGGCGGTGGCAGCAGCGGCGGCGGCAACATTCATACGCTTCAAGGGTGACGTGGACGGCTAGCCGCTGAACAATCGGACCAGCAGGAGGAGGAGCAGCACGGCCGCCCCGCTGGGGCATGAAAGACGAGGACAGCCGGAATAGTCACCTGGAAATCAAAAATCACATTTTTCACTGATCGTCCAATGAACATTACATAAATTTGGAATTAAACACTGAGACATCACACAAAGCTAAAAAAAAAGTTACATTGCATTTAATTACAGTAACGCCAAATGAATCCACTTTTTTTCAATTTGATTATTTGGGGTGATGCATCCCGCCAAGCGATTAAAAAATAAAATCATTGTAATCTATTTTGATCTCATCACGACTTAACCCAGCAAATAATTCGGAGTTTTGAAACGCTTTTTAAACGCGTTTCTAGCCCAAAATGCTACGCGTTTCATGCTCCTCTATGTTACTCCTACTCAGGATTTTAAATAATGCATATCATATAAGCATTTCAAAATGCCTTCTAGTTACAGCTAGGTTTTTTTTCATGGCTTCAAAGCCATTGGATTGGGAAAATGGGCCAAATAAAATGTTTGCATTCACGAATCAGGAAAGTAAGTTATTTGGAATTTTAGCGGTGTGTCCCGGATTGCTGATCGAATTCAATCTAGAATTCCATTCTGAGCAGTCCGTTGAAAGTTCCTGAGAAAAATTTCGCTCGACTGCTGAATCACTTCTTTTTAATTTTCTCACGAACATTAAAAACTTTCTACGCCACGAGTTAACGTCTCGAAGTTCCTCAAAATATTTCAAGTGAAAATTCTCCGAGTGTCAAGGAATACCGACCAGTCCTGTTTATAAAATACTCAGAATCTCTATTTGGAAAGCGAATGCATGAAAATTCCTAAGAAGGAATAAACGGCGGATTTGCTTGGAGAATTGGTGGCAAATGGCATTGATTGTTCATGCAAAAAAGCTGAAATTAAGTCCTGGAAAACCAAAGCATTGCATTAGCTGGCTCAGTACTCATTCTTTACTTGACGAGATAATCTCGACAACGTCAAAACGAAGCGAAAGCGAGGCAACCGACGAATGCTTCCTGTTCGATAAAAGACCCAAAGGAAACTCTTCGAATAACGCCTCAAAGTATCCAGGTCACTTTTCCGGAATCAGAAACTTCTTCACGGATTCCAAAGTATGTCAGACAAACTAGTGATTGATAAATAACCTTTTCAAACTTCTTCGAAGAAATGTTGTCCTTCTGAATTATTCCAAAGGTTTATTTTAGCCGATCTTCGGCTGTCCGCATTCGCATTACCGAAGTTTATTTTTAATAATAATGATCCCCATGAATAAATTAGACAGTTCTAGTGACGCAGAGTCTTGAAAATAGAACAGGACTCGACTCTCATGGCTGGAATCGATTCGTGTGCATAATAGCAGTCTTCTTTTTTTGTATCCGATATGGGTATGATTTCGTGGTAAAACTAATTTTTCACGAGCTGGTTGCGCTGATTTTCTGATGTAAAAAGGACAATTGAGGTGTAATCACGTCACATCTACCCATGAACCTAACATTGATGGCATTCGGCAAAAAAGTCTGTTTCCGAGTGCGATTAATCGATCAATGCTCTTCGATTCAACATGGCTGAGCCAAGTCTCTTCTCCGTTTTGCGGCCGGGTGGCAAAAATATTCACCCTGTGATACCAGCAACGGCTTATCTGGTCATTTGTAGGAACATGTACGAAGGTCTGCCCTTTTACGGTAAGTTCACTTGGATTTCAAGTCTGGGAGCGTAGTTTATTGCAGTGCGTGTGGGAATATATACCGCGTAGTTTATCCACACCCCATCTTCAACTTCGGCAATAAACACTTAGGCTTTTTCTGACGAAACGCCGAACGGAAACGGTTCTTGGAGCATACTTCCGGGCCGTTTACAATATTTTTGAGAAGCACGCCATGGGATTTTTCCATATCTTGATAAATTCCTTTCAGCCCGCAACATAAAAAAACTTCATAACAGTACTCATTTGTTTTATTTAGAATATTTCAGATAACTTTGGACGGACATTTCAGAGAACTTTGACCAGCACAGACCTTCAAAAATATCATATAGATTAATGCCAAAAAGTCTTATTTTGATAGATGTATCATAGTAAGCTTCGAAAAATGGCGCTTAACGTCTAATTTTCAATCTACGTCAGCAGCCAGATCTTGCGCTGGAAACAATGCCTGGAATGCAGTGAAATCTGGAAATTCAAATTCTTAAGCTTTTACTTCATTTGGGGCTTATAAATGCTTTTCTCCGTCAAAATATTGCAATTTCAATAATCAAGGAAAGCATAATAGTAAATCTACCGGATTCTCTGTACATCACTTTACGATAGTACAACTTTTTTAAGGGTATATGCCACTCAGTGCAATGAAAGTTAAAATAAAAATTTGAGAGAATGAGATATGATTCTTCAGCAATTACAGGAACAAGAGAAAATTAAAGCTTCAGCGTATTGTATTTACCTTCTCAGAATGTCTGGGTTTGTTATTCTGCACTTTGAAATTAGACAAAATGTTCCTGGTTCACGGTATGTTGAATGCCTATCAAGAGTCAAGTACTGTATCAGAAACCAGGCGACGGCATATTGGGATAAGAACTAATATTTAACCATTTTAATTACCCATGTGTCATATGCATCCTAGACTTTGAAGAGGAAATTCGGTTCGTGAATAGATGGGGTAGCTTAAAAACTCTGATCATCCGGAAGAAAAAAATCAAAAACTAAAAAGCCAGTGTATACGTACCGTGACTTTGTCTTCAAATTATACGAACCAAAGGTAATTACTTGTCGAAGATCTACTGTACCCTACTTTTGAACACTATTTAATTCAATATGCAAATTTATGTTATAGAAAGTAATACTATGAACGACTTTCGGAATATATTGAATGTTCCTTCATTTGATGGCATTTTTTCAGAATTACAGGTGAACTCTGCAGGATTGCGTCTGACCAAGGAAATATTTGGACGTGATGCTGTCTAATATTTAACAAGTGTACAACAAGTGTAGTATTTAACAAGTGTAAAAAATGCCATTTGATGGCAATTTTTTAGAATTGCAGGTGAACTCTGCAGGATTGCGTCTGACCAAGTAAATGTTTGGACGTGATGCTGTCCAATATTTAACAAGTGTACTTTACTTCAATTCCTGCTAGAATTTTCTTTCCAAGGGCACAAGAGTTAAATTCTGATCCCATTTGAAACTTTTTGATTTTTTCAACTGGCATGCGTATAATAAGGATCATATCCTGCAGAAACGCAAGTTTAGAGATTCCGATTCCACCGCAGGTTTTTTTTTTTTTTAGATTCTTTCTCCCTTTTTTTTTTTGCTGCCAAAAAGTATGCAAAGCGAAAGGACAAACCGATGTTGCGAAGGACGTCGGAGACATAGTCGCTGCGCGACGGGTTCGCCGTGCGGACGTGGCTCTGCTGCCAGTACAGCGTGGCGACGCTGGCCGTGCACTTGAGCCGGAGCACGCCGGCGCCAAGACCGCCACCGGCGCCCAGACCGCCGCCGTCGTCGATCTCGCCAAAGTGCTCGGGCCGCACTTCGAAGTCGAGTCCGAGCACCGAGTACTCGAGTCCGTTACGCGCCTCGAAAGGGCGGTATTCGATCAGCTGACCCAGCTCGGCCTGGTGAAACAGTGAAGGACGGGGTAGCGAACGGAATTCCGGGCTTGTTATCATACCCCGCTAGGTGTCGCGGCTGACTGACTACCAGGAATCGTTCTCATCCACTTCTCTTTTTTTTAAGGAAAGAGTTACGCGGTTCCAGTTTGGTTACACTCCGTCAGTAAAAATCGGAACAAATGAAAATTTCCATGTCGGGAGGGATCATTTTCTATACAATTCAGAAGAAACGGAGGCTCCCGCGAAGAGGAGAGGGAAAAGTCTCCAGGGTTGGAAGGTTGGCTAAGTGGAGGAGGTCCTTGGTAACGAACCTATTTCCTGGTAGTCAATTGATGCGATAATCAACATAAATTTGATGTCAACAATCGACTTACTTCGGGGGCAACTCAGGTTAGGTGAAAAAGTTTCGTTGCAGAGTTACCGGAATATCGGGTTTATAGGTCAAAGTTTATTTTTTGCAGTTGAAAAATCGTCCAGTGCGACTTAAACGCGAAGTAAATTTTACCCAGGCTTAAATTTTGGAACTTGAGGTTTTCTTCTGTGTATGCCGCGTGTTCGTCAAATTTGTCTCATAGATTTGCGACCGGCGCCACGTTTTCTTTTTTCGACACTCGTTCTCAAAATCTGACAATTCGAGCTTTAAATTATCATTCCTTCTATCAACACCTTTCTTAAAGAATTCGGATGCACAATAAACCGAGAAAGTTTATCATTTCAACTTAAAATTGCCTCAATACTGGTAAGTGCTGTGAACATGTAAAGTCAATAAATCAGAACGGCATTCTGTTCATATTAGAATTTTCGAATATCCCAGACGATGATGGCGAGCAATGTTTTTAGATTTTTATCAAGCCAAAAAAGCATTCAACTATGAAGTACTGCGGCATTTTGCATGATTCTACGAAAATGAAAATCTCCTCGCCGTGTTCAATTTCTGCTGCGTAAGTATGTTTGCTGGGTGAAGGGGATGCTTTCTTCACAACTCAGATTTTGTCCTGACACAGTACTATATTTTAAACTCATTGCTAAAGCCAGCTGATAAACTTTGTGTGAAAATATTTTAGGTCGACTGAAACCCCCTGGGGATTTAATCAAGTAGAAGCAACATACCGAAAATCCCCACAGAATAGGCTATCCTTAGAACTGGATGTTTTCATAGAAAGATATGATAGATAAGTATTTCTCCAAGATGACGATCACCAGTTGCCCGAACCCCAGCAACGTCCCATGTTTTATCTACTGATAAAATTCAGGACACAGAAGGGACAGATTTACGAGTGGTGAGACCAACCCGAAAACGCCCTTTGAATAAAATTCCTCTCCATGCAAAAATGCATAGAATTATTAAACACTGATCAAAAAATCAAGGACATGTTAGTTAACACGACCTGGTTTGGTCTGAATGCAATAAATCTAGCTTAAACCCGAGGAGAGGCCACACATTGCGTTGAAGCTTGCGCTTTTGACTTTAAACACGGCCTTCCGGGAATGAGTGAGACTCAATTATTCAAGTTTTGGCTAATGAAGACAACTCGTGGAAGGGTGCGTTATTGTTGGAAGATGAATGGTTGTCAGACTCATTATCATTAGCCTCGATGACAACTATTCGCGTGGGGGTCAGGTACAACTCGCATGAACACAACCGCTTCCGCTGCATGCAGCTGCTTTCCCACCATCGGAAATTACACTTGAATGCGATCTCAATGAGTTTACATGAGGGGAAATGAACTTTTAAAATGTTTTTTTCTTAAGAGAGGGAAAAAAACTGACAGGAATGCAGATTTAAATTAAACTAATTGAAGAACCCCCGTGCAGAGATAAGGTGACCTCCTGGTTCGAAACCCGAGTCGAAGAAACCCATCCACCCTGAAGGAAACTCGTGGCGAAGCCCATTTTGCTGAAGGGAAACTGTTCGAACACATGTGGAGGTTATTCGATTCCGTGCTCACTATCGTCAGCCACGATGTCTACACCGACACGCAAAGGGTCCCAGTCGAACTTGACTCAAGTCAACTGATTTCAACAGCTGCCGTTATTTTTTTTTTCTTCTTTGACGGTACCAAAAATTTGAAGAGGAAGCTCGATTCTATCTTGATCATCAGCTGAGAAATTGATCGTGAAAAGCATTCGCCACAGTGACACGATAGCTGATGTCGCTTTTGGGTTTCTTGATCTGCTGCCATAGGTTTTCCCAGGCGATTCGTCAACCCGGAAGCATTCAAGTAAGACCTCTCGGAAGTACTGATCGTGGAAAATATATACGCATTCAAAGAATTCATGACTGATTTGGAAAAGTTTGTTTCTGCCCTTGAGCCGATATGAGAGTGAAAGAAATTAATGACAACTTTTGTGTACTAAGAAACCCGGCCATCAAGCCCTGGATCCGATTATAACAAACGCAAGCTAAAACCCTTTCTCATGCTCAGCACAAAAAAAAACCCTGAGAAAATTATTGTTCGAAAACATTTTCTGCCAATTATCGGAAGGCGTTTAGATCTGATAAAAAGATTGAAAAAATTAGAAAGTGTTGTTTACAGCGCAGTATTCTCTAGTCTAAATATCATCTCTACAAATATGGTCGGCACTCATTTTAGTGAAAAACCATCGTAATTTTTCATCAATCAAAAAAAAAAGATTTATAATTGTTTTAAACGATGAATTCGATTGTGTATAAACCTTTTCGGAGTCTCTGTCTACATTGCGTTTGAAAAGTTAGCCACTTGATTCGGCGTACACAAATTAAATCATGAATTGAAGCTTTATTCGCTTTTTGGGACAGAAAGTATTGAGATACCGAAAATTGCCATGTTTTCTCGAGTGTAATGCGTAATTTCGTCTAAAAAATTTAGTTCATAAGAATCGATCCTGAAACCATTCAAGAGTTGGGAGCAACGAAGGTAAGAGTTTAATTTATACTGGAAATTGATGATCAGACGATTTTCCGTATGCGATGTGTCTTGAATCAGCAAGTCAAATTTGCTTACCTTTGGAAACAAAAAATACACAGTCCTAATTTCGAGTGAATGTGGTATAGTGTGATATTATGAACTTCATCAAGTGGACTTTGATTTATGCTATTAATCGACCTTAGCTACATTTTTAAGCGTCCCGGAAGGGCCGGGATGACGGGGGCATTCCAGAGGAGGGTTTTTTTTTCGTGGAGGTATACCAGAAACGCATATCTGCTTGGTTTATAACGGTCGACTATTTCAGGTGGTGGTTGTGGCGGTGGTGGTGGTGATGGTGGTGAGGGGGGGGGGGGGTTAGGGGTGGTAGCGTGTGGTTCCACGAGTTGTCTCCGCTATCAGTTGGTCTCCCACGCGATGGCATTTTTAGGGAGAGCACTTTCCACAAGTTTGCCTGTAACAACGCGGGGGGAAGCAAGCCGGGCCCGCATCGATCAAATAAATTCGTGTTGCCCCCGCAGCTCGTCGCCGTCGTCGTTTTCGTGTCGCTGGCACGGGTTTTTGCTGGCGCGGGGTTTCTTTTTTCGGCTACTGGCTCACCTTCTTTTCGTTGACGTACCACGTGAGCGAGGCCGCCGGTTTGGACGGACCCGACGTGCAATTCACCTTGACCCGGTCGCCGGGGCGGTAGTGGTTCCGGCCGCCGATGATCTTGGGCTCGTGCTCCGGCACAACTGCACAAAACCAGGCATCAATTTACTTACCGCGCATCAATTTATTGCTCGACCCCCTCATTCATGTCCCCGCGAATTCAATAAAACCCACCCGCGTTGTCCGGGTACACACCCGTCGTGGGCTGGGCGTCCGGAATTTCACTGAGCCGTCGTTTGTCTTGTTCTCATTAATCATTTCTGAACAAGTCCTCGAAATTTTACAACCTATCCCGCGTTTTCACGCCTTCTTTCTGACACTCACTCGAGCGTTAGCCGCACTTTTTTTTTCAGAGGGTCTTAGAAAACGTGCATGATTCGTGCTAACGTAATTAAGGAGAAATCACACTGCAGCCTCATCTGTCATCTAAAAAACAAAATTACAAAGTTCAGGAAACCCAGGTGCAATAAATGAATGATTTCGCAAAATTATACAACCCATCCCATATTTTCGCGTCATACAGTTCAGAATTAACTTCGGAGCTTTAATTAAGCGGTAGAAGCACGCTTCTCACAGAAAAGGGATCTTCTAAAAAATGTGTATGATCTATGCTCGAGAAAATCGAGAATAAATCACACTGCAGTCTCATCTGTCTAATCTGAAAATAACATTTTAGGAAACGTGCTAAAAACAGATACTGTGTGAATGATTTTTTTTAAATTTGACAGCACAACACGCATGAGTTCAGAAACAATTTTAGACCTTTCATCGAGCCGTAGCCGCGCTTTTTTTTTTAACGGAAAAGTGATCCAGATAAACGTGCTTTTTCAAAGCTTAAGATAATTGATTAAAGGAGCAAATTCAGTCTTATCTACCTGTCTCATGCACAAAATTGAGCAAAATATTTGAAAAACGATGGCCCACGAGCATTCGAGCAAGTACTCAAGATTTTACAACCCTTCCCAATATTTCTCTTATTAGTCCTGTATCGATCTCAAATTACATTTCAAAATTTTCTGAATGTAAAACAGTGGATTGCAACATACTGTACTCTTGAACGTCAAGAATTTATTATAAGTGAACTTCGAAAGCTCATCCGCCATTTTCACGACCAACTCAATAAAACCCATCCGCATGTCTCTTTCCTCCAGGTGCTCTTTTCGGAAGAAAGTTGACATTTGACGTACTGTATCAACATTTACCAAAACACCATGTGCGCCGCACTATTGTAGTATCCTTTGTGCAGCCTATGCATGAGGTTTCGGAAATGTACGAAAAAAAAACACGCGTACTGGTGTGTTAATAACCATCGGAAATCCATGGAGCCATCGTTTGTCTTGTTCTCATTAATAATTTTCAAACATGTACTCAAATTTGAGAACCGAATCCTCAAATCCGCACGTGCGTAATTCATTATTTCGAAGTAAAACGTTCATGACTGCATTGTTTGGATTATCCCGGTGAGAAGAAAAAACTGGAATGTTAATACTGTTCGATATTCTTTCCACATCTCAGCTAAGTTTCAACTAAATTTACTAGAGCTGTTTATTTTTTGCATCGACTGCAATCTGGAAATACAGTAACTTAAATTTGCAGATTTCACCTTTGTATACAGGCCGGATAAATTTCCGAAAAGCCAGTTTTTTTTTACCTATGCATGTGCATATTGTGTCTAAATTTCAAATCGCCGCGTAAAAACCCGCCGTCGGATTTTAATCAAAGAAATACTATACGTTATCCATGCCTGACTCCTATATTATTTTTTGATTCAAAAGTTTTTTCGTTCCTAAAAAGCTAATATTTATAATGCGTAGATTGAATGACTTGAAGAGTCAGCCTAGCCATGATTTATTTTTGTTGCTTTCGACTAGGGAACTTCAGAAGCGTTTATGTCAGGAAATACAGCGTCCCATGAAGCGTGCTTCTCAAGACATGCGGTATACAGCTATCTTCGTGAATGAGTGATGAGAACCAATTCACTCGTGAGTTATATGCACGGATTATGTTAAAATTTAAAAAATTAGATGATGAAGAACAAAAGGAAGGAATAAGGCAACTCTACGTAGACCTCATCCCGCGCGGAATGAAGCAGTTTATGTGCAAATTTGAAGAAAATAGCGGTTGCTAGCAAGTTATTCATTAATCTTCTGACTGCAAGGAGCCATAAAATTTCGAAAGTTAGAAATAATTCCATTCGAAAGAATTCACCCTGGCGTAAAATGGCTGACGTTTCGTGTACAGTGCCAGCAAATAGTCGGCATTAAATACGCAGGCGGGAAATGTTCAGAATGCACGACAAAACTCGGGCTCATTCCGGGTTTGACCCCCGCTAAACAATTCAACTCGCCTCAAACCCTGACTGAAAAATGGATGACCAAGCCTGTGCTCACTTAGAAACAATAAATCTAAGGTAACATGCGAAGGGCCCAGAGTTTCTTCCTAATTGCGGATTAATCGCCGAGGAAACCCCTCAGTGGCGCACTTCGGGGCCGAGATTGCGCGCCGAAAATAACGTCAAACGGAACGGTAACAATGTGCCCCAGAAACCCGAGGAATGCGACACACGCGAGAGTTTTCGATAATTAAATAAATTATTCATTATATTCCAGCGAATACTGCAAAAATGCTCCCTTTTCTGGTGTATGGTGTGAGGCTGAGAAATGCGCGACTCTTAGTATTGGTTCGACGACGTCGGTTGAAGGTTTATCGAACCCAACTGCTGAGGGGTAAGAGGGAATTATGGCACAGTACATTCTTGCGATTCCATTCCAACCTCGGAAAGATACGGTCGACTGCTTGCTCCAGTAGAAGGAAAACGTTATTTGTCTCCATCCTTCAGCGGCACGCCACGATTTAGGAGCGCAATTGAATTACGAACAACAGAGCGGAGACCTTGAAAAGAAGCTTATAGAAAATTGAACCGACTTCGCGACAAAAACAAAGGGAATTCACGGTTCACTCGTTGATCTTCTGAAGATTTCCCTCTACTTGTTCGCACCTCCGTACCTCAAAATTTTGATGTGAATTTGCGAAGAGAACTTTATTTTAATTTCTCTGCAAAAAAACCAGATTACCTATCCTGCTTTGAGATTAGTGTTCTGGAAGTAAAAATAGCAAGTTCAGAACAAGTAAATATGAGTTGAAAAATTAGGAAATCATGAGCATGTGAAGATATTCCATACATTGAAATTCTATAATTAAATAAATATTTATATCTTTACTTTAAAGAAAGTTTTGCTTCGTCCATTTCTTCCAATAGTTTCTCGGAGGTCGGGGAAGTTATAATTGCACCTTATAATAGGACGGTAATCTGGGTTGATAGGGTACCTCCTATCGCTGTCTTATGGCACTGTACATCCTAATCATCATCAAAAGCATTTTTGAAATACAGTATGGTACAATGTGGACTAGATACATGAAAAAATCCTCTAGCCTTTTCTAATCGTCCAAACTAAAATCGGGTGATCGAACCATGGTATATTTGAATCATTACAGAAACGAAGCAGAAATTATTGAAGTTTTGGAAGAAATGTAGTGAAGAACTGAAAAAATCATGTGGAATACAGTTGTGTTTTCTTGGGTATTGTGCTGGTTGACGATGAGAGGCATAGATATTAAGTATGGACTACGTGTCTGCTCATCAATCAAGTATGAGGAAATGAGAAAAACTACATGATATTTTTCAGAATTAGCCTTTTAAATTAACAATAGGATACTGTACTTCGCAAGGTCTCTGTCATTCATCTTTTGTAAAAGGGACAACTTCTCCCGCGGACCTGCAACAAATTTCCGCGGACCAACGCGCGGGTCCGTGGACCGCAGGGTCACACGTGAGACCACTACAGTACATTAATTATGTTTATGATGAAGAAACAAAGCATAATAATGGCAGAGAAACAAAAGACAGAAAAAAAAACACAAAGTGCGGGAGGAAGGAATGGAAAAGAGGATTCGACGGTTAGACGAGGCGATGACGGTGCCGAGGAAGAAGAGGAGGAGGAGGCGGCGGCGGCGCCTTTCCCGCGGGCCGCTTAAGCCGCCTTCTCCGCGGCGCTGTCGTCGTGAGCCGCTTAAGTTCACGTTCGACACGTCGTCTGTCGTCCTATTACCATTGCACATTCGAGGCTTCCCGGAAAATCCCCGGGCCGCGACGAGTCTTTATTTATGTATTCATTCCCATCGATCCCCGCGCGGCACCCCGCAATTCCCGCGCCTCGCCTAGCCGCGCTATTTCCAGTCATCCACAAGGGCCTGTTTTATTATTCAGCAATATTGCGAGCTTGCTTGTTATCGTGTCATCCGCGGGATCGCCTTACCCACGACTAGCAGAGCACCCGAGTCCGACTCCGTGATGAACTGGCCCTCTGTGGACACCTCGCACTTGTAGCGGCCGGACGTGGTCAGGTTGACGGAGCGCAGGACGACCATCTTGTCATTGGACGACGTGAGCTGTGTATGGGCAGAGTGCGTGTCACGGGCTTGCTTGCTTGCATGTCGCCCGGACCAAACGGGCCGGCCGTAAAACAGGCAGCCAGTGTTTAGTCGATGGCCTCGGGATCCGAAAACTGGGCCCCGGGTACTGGGCCCGGTTTTCGGATATCGCGGCGGCGACCAGCAAGGACCTCCAGGTCTTCTCCCAAGTTTTCCCTTCAATCCCCCCCGTGGGTGTCAATCAAGCGTCGCTGCGCGGTTCGTTTATTCCCGGACCGAGCGCAAATTTTCAATCATGTGAGCATAGAAAGTCTCCCGGCGGCATGATGAATGAAATCAACACCTGCTGAGGTGAGGATCGTGGGTCGATATACAGTGGTTGGACCCCGAACTTGGGACACAATTTCCTCGGAAATAATTATCTTCTAGACTTCGATTTATATTTCGGAACCCCCAGAAACAGTAGCAAAATTTCCATTCATTAATGCCGAAAAAATGTTGATTTAAAACTATACAGAAAATGTGCAGTTGCTGGGAAATTAATTCAAGAAGAACAACCAAAATTGTAGTAACACCAATCCACTCGGAGACAGACAATAAATCGAATATAATTGCAAATCTGTCATCACGTGGGGATAGAAAGTCTCCGGTGGAGGATGAATGAAATCAATATATTGTGGATCAGCACTAAGCTCCTTATCTTAAGACACAATTTATTTCAAAAAAGTTCTTGTATTGACTGCAAAGTACACTAAAATATTTTTCAGATTCTGTACTTCTTTTTCCAATTGTGAGAGACAATGTAGAAATTTGCATCAAAATCCAAATAGTTTTCAACTACCATACATAGAACCAGGAGAACAAAAATATTTGAGAAGAAACTCTCGGCTGGGGAAGAAAATGAAAAAAAGGAGTAAAATATAAGCCAGCACCAATCCACACACAGTCAAGAACTTGAATAAAAAAGTTCAAAAGTAATTAATTTCCTAAGCAATGAATCTCTATATTGGTTGAGATATAGCTTTTAAAAACATGTTTAAAGATATTTTCCACACCTTCATATAGAGCCTATACAGATGTGTTTCCGGATATTTAAACATTTTCAAATGTTGGGAAGGGCGTTTTCATTTCTAAAATATACGGAAGCAGAATTTCCCGGATTTCGGTGACCCACTGTGTGTTTCCCCTCTCTTGCTTTTTTTTTTTTTTTCCTGCTTCAGCTGGGCCCCTGTTGTTTGCTCGGGGGCGAAATTATTTTCCCTCACCTTTTCGCGCCTTGTTAGCTTATGGAAAGTCAGCGGCATGAATTCTTGATGCCGTCAATTTCTTCGCACGCCGACTGAGGTTGCCGCGCGTCGATCAATTGTCATTTTCCGAGCAAGGTGCAAGGCATTGAATCCGACTTTTTCTTAATCCATAATTAACCTCACGGTTAGCCGTGCAATTACGAGCGAAGGTCGCTGTGCAGCTGATCGATACATTCTTCCAGTTTAAGTAGTTTACCCTATTTTCTAGCCAGATTCTTGTCGAAATATTAATAATTCACCAAGTATCGCTGACCACCTTGTTTATGGTGGACGCATTACGCTCATAACTCCAACAGTGACATAATATTGCTAAGTATTCTTGATGTACGTCAAGTCATAAATTAAATGTAACCGGATCAATGCATGAGAAAAAATGCCGTTATTTTTAATTTTCTCTACAGTTGATTGATCCTTTTGATTACATTTAACTTTTTAGCTTTAAATTTTCATCATCAACGAAGGAGTCATTCCTCACGAAATCTGCATGTCTAGTGTTAACCTCTAAGCCATTTATGCATAATCCAGAAAAGATTAATTCAACCTCAGCAACTAGTACCATTGGTGCAAATTGGACGAATTCACGTGGAAAGTTTGCGTATAGTTCAACTTTTGAATTTACGAGACGAGTTCAAAGGTAAATTTACAACCGGAATCGAATTTAATCCAAAAATAAATCAAAAACGGATTTGGGGACATTTGTGTGGACATTTCAAGCATGTATGTGTGACTGTTGGGAAACTAGAGCTCACAAATTCAAGTATGAAGAAAGTGCTAAAATCCAGAAACATGACATAAAACACTTTTCTTTTAGGTAGAACACTTTACTCTTTATTTACATTTTTTGAAGATTCAATTTTGTCGATCTTGAAGTTTAAAAATGTTCGATTTAACGTAGCTAACCACCGTTTCTAGGAGTACATTATTTGTCCGATCGGTCAGAAAGAATGTGAGCAAGGAAACGTGAACCCCTATCTTACCGAGGAATTTGTTTCCACCTGCAGTTTCCCGAAGAAATGATCTGTAATCACTAAATTCGCAGCCGTTTTGGTTTTTTTTGTTTTTGCTCAGCAGGATATGATTGAAAATCATGCGCTCGAGACGGATATTTTCGACGTGATGGTGGGGGAGAAGAAAACACTTCGGAGAAGGCGCCTTTTCTTCCTCGATTTCCATATCGCTACTTACGTCCACAGTGACGCCGGCTTGGGCAAAAATCTGAGCAGGCGGGTTGCTCCAGGGCTGGTAGCGGAAAAATTCGTTTTCGTTTTTATACCACTTGACGGAGTAGATAGGACCGTCGGATCCGGACGTCTCGTAGTTGCAGTGAAGCTTGGCAGCGTCGCCACGGGCCGCGTGGGTCGGCACCCTGGCCTTCACTCGCAAGTCCCCACTGACCCCTGCGAAGCCAAAAAAAAGTTTTAACACCACGTCCTTCGGAAGACCTGAACGGGTCATTATGAGAAGACAGTTTCATCGAATGCATGCTGGAGTGGAAGTGCTTTGCTTCGACGAGAGATCTTACAAACCATTTGAACGAAGCACTGTCCTGTTCCAATCTGACTGTAGAGTGCAGACAGCACGTTTCTCGGCCAAAACTGGGATTGAAAAACACTTGGGCAAATAGATTCGTTCACGGGCAAGAATTAGTTGAAAATTTTTTTCAGATTTTTGGATATGCGACGTTGAATGAACAATTTCGAAAGTTTGAACTAATCAAAGATCAAGCCTTGCGATGTTGACAGGAATTCCTAAGTGAAAGGATGAAAGGATTTTTCCAAAACAGAGAGAGAGAGAGAGAGAGCGAATCTGCTCACGAAAGTTCTCAGTCCGAATGCAATTTTTCGCTTCATTTGTACGTTGACCGATTTCTTTTTCTTACGTTTGCCGAAAAGCAGCGCAGACTATTCTTAAACGCGGAAAGCGGAAAAGATGTTCAAGATTAATCCATATTGGGTCAATTTTTGAGGAATACGCGAAGAAGAAAACTGGAATATTTTTAATAGCTTCAACTAATACCATAACATATTTTGCGGCTATATAATTTGAATAAAAGAATAAATCATTCATTCGAGAGAAAATTCTCAGTATACTATATGAATTCATTTAGTTGGAAAATTAATCCTGCTCACGAACAGGCAAAAGGAAGAAGCACCTGGATTTCAAGTCAACATGTTGCAGGTCCATGCGCTTCCTCTTGTTAGATTAGTTCAAAAAGTAGGCATATCTTTCAACCACGAATAATCGAACTAAGGTAGCGATCTTGGAAGACAAAACGCAACGCGATCGCTTGAAATTCCTCTAAAAAAACTATAAAAACGTTAGTAGAGAACACGGACAAACCATTAGTCATTCTGTATTTGCGTTGTAAAATGATGAAATTTGTCTCAAAATATGTTTGCATTTTGTGGTGTTGAATTCGTTGTTGAATTTAACGAGCAAATGATAGAATTCGTAAGTTTGAATGTTCGGTGTTCCTTCTTCTTGTAAGACGCAATCCGTAAAGTGAGGCAAGTTTTCGCGAAAAACGTATTCGTCCAGAATCATACATTTTTTTTTACCTGCGCACAAAAATGTCTAGCATATTTTCGAAGGATTTCCCAAAATTTTCAAGAGCTTCGTTTGAGAGAATATTCGTCCTGACTGATGATCGTCCTGACTGATTGCCCATCATCAAGTTTGGCATCCTTGAGAGAAACCAAATCCGGAGCATAATTTTGAATCCAGCAGCATCTTCAACCTCTGTCGACCCTCGAGATTCTCGCACTACTGTAAAGCAATTCCTCAAAGCCCCGACTGTATGAAGAACAGCATCCGTTGTACATCAGTACTGTATCTCGGGACTGGTTCGCGCAAAATCCTGGGAACCCTTCCGCGCCAACTCGGAAGCAGCAGATCCCGTGCCCGAGAAGAGAACGAGCCCGGAGGGGATCCTCATCGTGGAACCCCGCAGCTCAGTCTGCGACTCATCACCCATGACGGGAAGGGAAAGGCAGTATCGTAGCATGTTTGCTATAGCGAGGCACGTCGATACGCCCGCTGAATATTTCACACGTCACGCCATTCCGCTCATTTATTCAGCCGCGTCTCTGAAATTGCAGCCCGCTGTCGTCATGGCGCCGCCCGTGCGTCACGCGACGCCGCCGCCGGGCTTCGTCACGTGACCGGGATTTGTTTATTAAGCGCCGTGCATGTGTGTGCGTGTGCATCTCCGTGTATGTGTGTGTGTGAGCATGTATGTGTGTGTGTGTGTGTGTGTGCATGTAGGGTATGTGTGCGACATATACAGGGGCCCATGGGTGACAGGGCGGCCAGCATAGTAGGTAAGGTAGGTAGGTAGGTGCCTGCGACACAGCCCGTGCCTTGTGCGCGGGGTCGCGGGGAAACATCGATTCAACACAGATTGGCGCATACACGCAGGTACACATGTCCGCGGGGCCATCGTGACAGGCCGACCCGTGGGTAAAGTGCCTTTTGTACAAATGGCGTCTCTTGGAAGGCCGGCAGCAATAAATGCCACATCCGAGACGGGCCCTTGAAGTTCAGCCTCATCCATCCCGTCTGGGTTGCTTTTAAGCGCGGGGTTAGGATTGCGCCTTCCGGGCGGAAAGAACCCGAGTCCCCGGGACGAATGGCCACCATGCAAAATCCGAGACGTGATGGAAAAATGCACTTTGCGACGTCTTGATTCTAATCAGATCGCGTTTGTTTACACGCAGGACCTTGAAGTACGCAGTTTACGTTGGCGGATGAAAGGTACATGCCGTACTAACTCATATTCGCCGCACCAAAAAAAAAAAATATAAATACTAACTAGGAACATTTGATCACAATAACCAAACATTTTCTTGGAGGCTTTTTTTTTTTTGAAGACACCTCAGTAAGCTTCTACCTCTGACAAGCTTCAGTACGTTGGGATTGCTGACTTTCGTTTAAATGAATCAAGGGAATGGACTTTTTGACAATAATTTAGGCTGGATTAATTTTCCACGTAATACTAAGTAAAGATGCATCATCATCACAGAGGTATTTGAATTCCTTTTAGGAATTCAGCATTTCTCAAAATACTGTACGACAGGAATTTATCCGGGAAAATAAAAATGTGACGTCTTGTTGCAGCTAACGTTATTTAAAGATTTTTCTCAGTAAAATCAATGATTACCTGAATGGTTATTGTAATAATGTACTTCATTGAAGCGTTATCAAGCATACAGCAGCGATGAAAAATGACAGAAAGAGCCGAAGCATGAGGAAGGAACTAAATCAGTGAACAGTTGAGATGAAAATTGAATTTTAAAAAATGTTTCAACGAAAATTGATCAAAAGAAGAGGTGATGCTGCAGATTTGATCATGATGCTAATCTTGCGATGATTTCCATGATTTGAAATTTGGAAAATTTGATGCAAAATATGTCAAAATCGTTGTCTCGTAAGGTTTAGAATATTTTCGCCGACTCGCTTCTCGAATATATCGGTGATTGACAAGGGTTTGTTTTCAAGTGTCGCATTCCTTGATTTGTGGTGGAACCCTAAAGGGCATCTTTCCGGTGACAGGTCGCGATATCGGCGCGGGCTGGGAGTAAAAGAAAAAGGGCAGGGGGACAACAGAACATCTTTGTCGCAGAAAGAAAAAGATTCTCCAAAGGATACAGTTTATTTCTTCGCTATTTACCATAGTCTACCATACAGTCTATTCTTCCCATTGAAATGCCTTTAGGAAATGACGGAATTCACGTTCAAGCTATGTATTTCCGGAAAGACAGATTGAAAACGTTTTAAGAATGATGCGCATGATCTGTCTCAAGGATTTCTTGTGCTCTCTTTTGCCTGCTACAGGGACTTTTAAGAAATGCGGTGACACTTCTCATTCACAAAAAAAGATTTGATGCATCATGTGTTAATAACTGAATTAAGCAAAGCCTATACTAGAAATTCGAGAATAGAAGCAGAAGGTAACCAGAATGGAATTGAATTGCGCCACATCACGGCGAAGTACCACGAGTTTTTAATTTCTGCCAAACGTCTAATTTTTTCCTTTATATTCTGGAGAGTCCAGTAATTCAGTTTTTAAGATGTATTAAAATTAGTCCACAATCCACCCGTGGGAAATCCATGGGGTACAGCAAATGGGGATCACAAATACATTCTCCTCATCAAAATGCTGGATAGAATGGGATTCAGTTCCTTTTACACAAATTATGATCTTAGTTTGAAAGTAGCCGAAATAAGCCTTAGATTCTGTGGTGAGAAGACAGACCCTGTTCTTGGCTGATTGGCTTGGCTGTACAAGAGGTCTTGATTCCTGTGTGCAAAGAGGCATGTGCTATAAAATGTATGGTAGGGTGCCTTAACTGAATGGAAAGCTATCTTTGCTATATAAAGCCCCAATCATGAAAATTGAGACGAAAATATGGTGTAAAACTGAGAAGGATATGGGTTCAAGAATTGTATAAAATAAATAAAAACTTTGATAAGATCCTTTGTTTCCTTTGCATACATTTTTTCGGTAAAGGATCCCGAATGGATCCTTTTTAGGGATCCCAAAAGGATCTTTTGTAATGGAAGAATATTTCCATGATGCTGGCTTTTGCAATCCATTTTTAGAATAGCTCGATCTTTATTTTTATATTCACGGCAGATTTTAGAAGATGAGTAACTTACGTCATGCTTGTGCCTAATGGCAAAAAGTTGGTACATCAGTTATTTGTCGTATTTACAAAAATCAGTTGGAATTTGAATTTGGAATGTATCTCATTCAATTTCAAAGATATCCAAAAGAAAATTGGCTTGAATTTTACTCGATTTATTTTCAATGATAGGAAAAAAAGCAAAGAATTTTTGTGTGAACATTACATGAACGCTCCAATATGGCGCGCATAATGTTATAGCCTAAGGGGCTACCAAGATGTGTTGTTCACCAATTTTCTGGTGAGTTTATTGAAATCTTTGGCGTAATTTGTATATGCCCTTCCTCCTTTTTGTGGAATGTACTGAGGTGATTGAGCATGAAAACTGTCATGGCACGTGCAATGTTATAGCCTAAAAAGAGACTTAAAGATATATTGAAAATTTGTTCTGCTGGTGTATTTATTTTGTTTCTCAGAACTCATTGGCAATATTTGCATGCGTCCTTGCATATTACATTTTAAATGCGCTGCAAACCTCATGAAACCACCTAATCTCAGGGAAATTAGCTTCAGGAATGCAAGAACCATGACTTTTCCGTTGGCCAATTCAAGCCTCATTGCTGCATGCACTCTGGTAGGGTGCTGATGTTTCTTTTTTAGCGGTTCGATTTAAAACTTCATGAAAAGACCCACAAAGAAGTATTCGACATGGTGATGCTTTAATTAAAATTTTTTATTGAATGTGAATGGACTCGGCTAATGCTGTGTTTAAATGTTTTATTGATGAAATGTGTATATGCATTTCTTTCAGACGAAGCTGTGTTTAAGATTGATTTGATAGTTCATGGTTTGATTTTGCGTATAAAGCTGTAACTGCTTGTGAAAGAGTCAGGTGTTTTATTGCTGCAGTAATCATCTAACTAAAATGGATATTAGTGACCGTCCATAATTGCAAAATTAAGCAAGGCTTGTTGATTTACAGCCCTCAATCAAATCTGTGTAGTCTGCTGGAAGTTGGGGATAAACTGGTGCTAGTTCAAATCCATCAACGGCCTACCTCCATCAAAACTAAAAAATCAAAATAAATATTTTCAAAGTGCAATCCTCTGGATCTTTATATCATCAAACATTGGCGTCTGTCTTTTGCATCCACCAGCAAGATTTTTATATCAGGATGATGAAAGAAGGAAGAAGTAATACATCCATCCAATATAATTTCAAAATTCATAAACTTCCTAATTTTTTGCAAGGCATCAGTGCAACAAAGAGACTGGAATATTTAGTCGAATCAAAAACATGTTGCAGTGATCAAAGAGAGAAATTCACGTTTTAAGCACACCTCAACGGTTGGATGTCCTAAAATGTTTCAATTGTGGCATGAAAAGAGCTGGGATTTTTTAACGAAGTTCGAAGAATCTGTGTGCCGAAAAATTTCTAAGCGACAGGTGTTTCTTAAAATCAACGGAAATCAAAGAATCGTACGTGTTGAGTTGCCCACGACGTGGAGCCCTTCGAAAATGCTCCAGTCCTGGGTACCTTCAAAGAGGCGTTTCTGGTATCGTTTCACCGGATCTGGAGAACGTCCTTTCAAATCCTCGACATCAATCAAACCCTGGCATGCGTTCCTTACGGTTAGCACAGTAGGCTTACGGCAGTAGTATAATCCGAATGAAACCCAGCCCGGCAATTTCGGAGGGGCATAACTCCGACGGCCACGTGGATGCCCAGCAAATTACCAAAAGAGAATTCGTTGCCGGGGAAACTCGCGAAAAAAATACCGCATTAAATCTTCCGGAATAAGTGAGCCGTTTTAATTCTCCAAAATAGTATTTCATGAAGAAGTGAATCGTCTATTCAATGAAAAGCGACTCATTCAATTAAAGAGAGACATGGGATGTGCAAGTTCTTCCTGGTTAACGTTGAAACAAACATGTGCCACGAGCATCACCCAGTTGAATGATCAAGCGAGTTTCCAGTACTGTCGCCTTTCATGCTCCAATCCGAAAATGCGAAAGAAAATAGAATGCCCTAACATTCAAAGGAATGACGTCCGGATATTCCCATGCATTCAAATATGTTCAGAGGAAAGCGGCCTTCTCATACGAAAAACAGCCGTCGAATGTGCTTCGGGGTTTTCATCGCAAAGGATTCAACAACTGCTAATTACTTCACGGTTTTAGCGAAGAAATTGATTGAATATTTCACGATACTTTAGATATTCTTGTTAGAAGACGCGTCCACACAAAATTTTTCTTTTTTCATAACTTGAAAGCGTTTTCCGCATTTACGCGATCCCCGTAAAAGACAGCGATTTCAAATCGCGACTAGATTTCTTCTGTCCTTCGAATTCAAAAATATCTTGCTGTACAATATTCAAAAT